GATCTAGGCCCGAAACGTCAGCCTTCCTGCTCCTATGATGCTGCTAGGCCTGCTGTGTTCATCCAGCTCTACACCTTGTTATCTCTGGTATTTTATGGTCTTTTCAGTTTCTAGCAATGGAAGTTCCCAAGAGTGTAGCCATACTACTTGACCAATGATACAAGTCTCTAGCATTTCCTCTGCCTTTTTATAATCATGAAAGGATTTGTTGCTACTGTACTTAAAGAAAAACAAACATCTGGGTGTTTGAAATATTGAAACAGCTCACAAAAATACAAAAGATTTATTAACACCTGGAATGACTGTGTATTCTGGGAACAGTTTCAAAAATGTCAATGTTGTAGATTTCACTTAGAAGTTGGCATTCTCCTTTGCGTGAACGGTCACGGTTATGTCATGGGGACACTTTCTAAACTCAGTCAACAGCATCCATCTAACAATACTGGAGCTTTAATGCAATATCATATTTTGGGTGGAGCTGAAGCGAGAGATCTGTGTTTTTTGGTGAGCTTCATAACTTAAAAGCAAAAAAGAAGGCTCCTTTGAGAGCATGGTAAGTCTTTTTGGAACTCTGTTAATGTGTAATGTAACCTTTCACCACATGAAATTCTGTGTCACTAAAATCTGTTTAAGGTTCTTGAGTGGATTTGTAGCTCGGGTTATGGATACTGTGGTTGGTTGGCTCACCGAGCCGGTTCGTTAGTTCGCAGACATTTCATTACCCTCTCGGGTAACATCATCGGTGCAGCCTCCAATGAAGCGTTGTTGTATTTTCCCGCTTGTTATTTCAACTCTGAGGTCCGTTAGAATTGATTACCTCATTTCCGGTTTTTCTTTGCAGTGGTGTGTATATAGGGTTTAATTTTACGTGTTTGGGATAACGTCAGGATCCTAGGCCAAGCCAAACAGAGACGAGCACAGGAATTTCTCGAGGCCTGTTTCTACACCAAGAAGGCCATCAACAAACACGTAGAATTAGACCCTATATACACACCACTGCGAAGACAAACTGGAAATGAGATAATCAACTCCAACGGACCCCAGAGTTGAAATAACAAGCGGGAAAATACAACAAAGCTTCATTGGAGGTTGCACTGATGTTACCCAGTAGCATAATGAAACATTTGCAAACTAATGAACCAGCTCAGCGAACAAACCAACCACAGCACTAAAATCTGTCAATGTTCACAAGTTTTGAAATAAGCTTTTTAGGAAGCAGATGTTCTGAATAAGCACTTTTCACAGACATGACCTCTAAACTGCTCCTAAAATGATGATTTTCAACCTACACAAGTTAAAATAGAATTTTAGGTGATCACAGAAAAATTATTGTATTGTAGCATTGAAATAAAGTATTTATATTCAGTTCTGAGGAAGGGTCACTTGACCCCAAATGTTAAGTCTGATTTCTCTCCACAGATGCTGCCAGATCTGCTGAGCTCTTCCAGCAATTTTGTTCTTGTTTCTGATTTACAGCACCCATAGTTCTTTTGGTTTTCATTTATATTTAGTGTCTTCTTTGAGTGGAGTAATTGATCAATAATTAAAAGACCCCTGTAACATGGGATTGGATCAATTCCTTTGCTTTCATATCAGATAAATGTATAGAGAGGGTGAATAAAAATCATTAGACCTATCAGGGTTAATTCTGTAAAGTCAATGTTGAAAACCTCAGCACCATTCACCAGGTCTTCAGCTGCTGAGAACTGCAAAAGGTCAAAAAGGACTGTAGCTACTGCAAGGAAATTGCCAAAACGGCTTGTCAACTCCCTAACCGCATCTTAGGAGACACAGCTCCTGATTGACCACTCCAGTTATCCATCTTTATAAGTGGAAGAGACCTGTTCTCTCAAAAGAATCATTGAGTTTCTTTGTCCAGGATCGTAAGGACTCCTTACCCACTTCATCTCTCATGACATTGTACATACGTGCATTTCTGCTGCTTGAAAGATTAAACAAAATGACATGTAAAACGGTTCAGCCTGACTTTACAATGTGTTCTTCCCCTTAGGTATGTCCATTTTTTAAATGGTCTGCTCTCTGGTTCAGTGAAAATGAACACCACTCCCTTGTTTCTGCACTTTGTGATTTTGCATGGCATTCCCAGCTTTGATACCGGAGGAGGTAATGCTTTGAAATACTATAAATGAAATATAGAAAAATAGATACTTAATGCCTCTTTTGTACTTTTTTAAAAACCTCATTATGCCTCATTGAACATGATGTTATGCTGTAGTTTTTGTCCTGCGACTTAGTTTTGAAATTGACTGCCCCACCATCATACCTGAACGTGGGGTTATTAAGAAAATAAAATGGACAGTCTGCCTGCCATCCTTCTGTCAATCCCCAACCCATCTGTAATGTTATGATTTGGGGCAATGCATCAGGCAACACACCTGCCCTTGGGCATTTTGCTGTCCTTTAATGGCCAATTAATGGGCCTTAATCCACCTCTGCCATTATAACACACAGGGAAGGCTGAGACAAGGAGAACAGCCCAGCAGCTTTCACTGTACAAGCTGTTGTCAGGCAGAAAATGAGGCTAAGCAGCATCATAGGAGCTGCTTGGCCTGCTGTGTTCATCCAGCTCTACACCTTGTTATCTCAGATTCTCCAGCATCTGCAGTTCCTACTATCTCAGAAAATGAAGCTACCTCTTTTATGGAGTCTGCTGTGCCAATTGGGGTCAAGTCCTGTCCAGGATAATTCCACCCCTTATCCCTTAGCTACTGACCTTAGAAATCAGCCCTGACCACTCCTGCCTAGCTGGGGTTTGCAAAGCAGACCTGACCGAAATACCTCATTTAGCTGAAGTCCAGGATGCATCGCGTCTTCACCATTAAGGTCTGCCTGCAGTTCCAGCAGTTTCTAGGATGTCCCCTTGTGTGTGTAGGAGTAGGTGTAGGTGTGTGTGTGTGTGGGTAGGTGTGGTGGAGGTGTGTGTTTGTGTGTGTGTGGGTGTGGGTGTGTGGGAGTGTGGGTGTGGGTGTGGGTGTGTATGTGGATGCACATATTTAGGAATTTGGGGATGGCAGGGGAATGATTCTGACTCATTTAAGGCTGTCCCTGGCTTATTACTATGATGCCAATGGACATTTTGATTGGGTGGAATAAGCAATCCGTGGGATAGGATAGAATCCTTCTACAGGTTTGGTTTCGATCAGTTCGAGAACCTGCTGATTTATCTTCAGAGAACTCTGTCAAGCAATAGTGAGTTTAACAGTATCGCTGCAATTTTCAATGTGTTGTCCAAATACAGCATCACTTTTCAAGGTTTAAAGTCCAAACATTACCAAAACGAATACTGGCAAAATTGCTGAATGCTTGTCAACTGTGATTAAAAATTGAAAGTGTTGCGAATAATATAAATGTTTTATTAGGAAGAAGGGTCATATCAGACTTGAAACATTAATTCTCTTTGTGTCTCCAGAGATTCTGCGAGACCTGCTGAGTTTTTCCAGCACTTTCTCTTTTTATTCCCTATTTCCAACATCCACAGTATTTTTATTTATAGCAGTGGCTTCCTGAGTTGGTTGTTTCATTTTATCATATCCGGTGTAAGTTTCGAAGTTGGCATGCTGGGTACTGGAATTGGAAAGTTGCATAAGGGCTTGTAACATGTACAACAAGACAAGGCCCCCAGATCCCACTCTTGCTGGAGCAGTTATCACGAGTCCTGATGCTCATAATGGTGATATCAATACCAAGGGTATGCATGTTACAAATTTGGAGCTTCTGTATTTAAATCAGGTTTTCAGCAAATAGACAAATTAGTGGTTCCATTAGAATGGGAAGAAACTGAGTTTTTAACTTATTTTTTAAAAATTGCTCATTGTGAGGAGAAAAAGAAAATTTTTCTGTTGTCTTTAAAATGCAGTTGTGCAATAGATTGACATTCCTTTATAAAGCTAATTTGATGACCCATAAATAATGCAGAACGAATGCTAAAAGCAGTACATACTTATATATATCCTGATGTACTTGACTTGATGCAGGCAAACACCATCAAAAGTTTGAAGTACAAGAACATCTCACTTTTTATTTTGCAGTTTGTCGCCCGTTTCTCAAGATTTACCAAGCAATGCAACCGGTCTACACGTCAGGAATCTAGTAAGTTTTATGTCTAATATTGTGAACCTTAATGACTTTTCACTAACTGACACAACAAGCTGAATGCTTCCCTTCTGTGCTGTCTGACCATTTTATGATTCATCACTTGTTAGTACAGAACTTAAGCATTACTGAAAAAACAGACATAAAATTCTTGGTCTTGCACTCATCAGGACAGACACAAAAATGCTGAAGTTCTAAGGGAGCAGCAATTTGTGTGTTGTGCTGATTGGTTGGCAAGTCGGCTAACCTTGGTTGTGGTGTTACATGGAAAATGTACCAAAGAACTCTTGGTCTCCCTTGTTTTATTTTAAATTGTAAAGATGCCTAACATATCCTCAGGATATAATGTCCAACATTAGATATGCTTCCATAATTGGAAAAACCTTGCTGAAGAATCCTGAGTATAGTAAGAATTACTCTAATACTCAATTCAAGATTGTCAGTTGGACTTAAGCGGCTCATTACACTTGTTAGAAGCTGCATACTTTCATATGCAGGAACCTTTTCAAGGCAGGAAAGAAGGATGTGTCCTGGCATTGTGTCTTTTTTTCTGAATTAAACAAAAGCTGGGGATCGATAGTTTCATGTGTTCTACTCTGTGGCAAGGCTTTTTGACTAAGCAATTCCAACTTGCCAACCGATCATACCTCTTCCCCATGTACTACAAGTTGTTCAGTCTGAAATTTGGCCACTTTGTGTCTGTCCTGATGAGAGTGAGACAAAGAGCTTCGATTACACGTATTTGTTTGTTCTATGATTCTGTAATATCTTTCATTTTCTGTTTGTTTCAGTAATGTTGGGCCAGAAAATCAAAGCAGAATTTGCATTTCGATAGAGCCAGCCCAGCTGCTAAAAGGTGATATAATGGTGAGTTCTTCTGTGAGTGAACAACAAAAAAAAAATCAGTGGTGATAAAGTGAAAGGAAAATAGTACGAGGAAACTGTCCTACATGTTGGTAAGAACCATTTCTCGGACTGCATGAACAGTACACTGACTTATGGATATCTATTTTTCAGTTTGCAGCTTCTTCATATTTTCAGTTTCTTCATATTTTCTTTGGGACCTTCAATTTATTCATGTTTTTTGTTGCTGGCTTCTACTATTGGATTACCAATATTTTCCCTTCAAATGTTTTCTCCTTTGTTGGGTTACTTGACCATTAATTCATGACTCAAAAAACATGACAAAATGTGAATTCATTGTGCCTTCAGCTACCTAGTTTTAATAATTTGCAATGAATCAGGAATTGGATATAAAATCTTAGTTATTTGTAGTTTAGCATGTGTTCTCATGCCTCCCATGCCACAATATTGCATAATGCAATAACCTCCCCATTCTCACCACCCTGCTTCAATCCTTCCAAACACCATTATCTCCCACAACCACACAACATCCCACACTTCTATTACTGGTGCTCCCACACACTTACACATTTGAATCCTCTCACAGGCTATGTCTCCAGCCACCAGCCAGCACAACCCACCACCATCTCTCTGATACATTTTTTCTTTATTCATTCACGGGATGAGGGCGTTGCTGGCTAGGCAGCGTTTATTGCCCATCACTAATTGCCCAGAGGGCAGTTAAGAGTCAACCATATTGCTGTGGGTCTGGAGTCACATGTAGGCCAGACCAGGTAAGGATGACAGTTTCCTTCCCTATGGGACATTAGTGGGTTTTTCCAACAATCAATAATGGATTCACGGTCACCATTAGATTCCTAATTCCAGATACTTATTGAATTCAAATTCCACCATCAGCCATGACAGGATTTGAGAAGGCCCTAGTTTACAACTGGATATAACAGTGCAGCAATAATACCACCAGGCCATCGCCTCCCCCACTGTATAGAGTGCCCAAAGCCTACTGCTTTCCATCTGCAACATGGAACATTTTCTCTACCATACGTAACTTGTGCTTAAAAAAAGTATCTAATAAAATGAGCTCTAAATTGAACTCAATTAAGATAGTAATCAAGGCCACTAGATTTGCTGATTCATTATGAATCAGTAACCCTGATAATTACTGTACATGCCATAATATAACAACTTACATGACTCACTATTTTTAAAAAAAGAATGTTGCAGACAAAATAAAATTAATGTGCACGATGTGCTGGCTGTTTCTTTGCTCCTATTGCGTTATACAGCAGCCAACAATACCACCAACCCAACAGAGCAGCAAAGTGAGCTGAACTCATCAACCACATACTTGTCTAAAATACCATCTGCGTCAGTGACTTCATTAACTTCAATCAACCTGATTAAGAAGCATTCCTTTATTTGATATTTACTTGAAAGTTCTACTCTCTACTTTATAAAGTCACAAAAAGTCCTGGAGGAGATGCAGAAAAGAACTTAATAGAATGAACAGTAGAATTGAAGGGTTTTCCACTCAAGAGGGTTTGAACAAACTGAGGCTGTTATACTAAGAAAAAAAAAGCACGAGTGTGGCCAAATGGAGGTCTTTAAGATTATGAATGTGATAAGATTGATGCCAAGAAATCGTATTGTGAGTGAGACCGAAGATGAAGGCTATAAATAAAAGATAATCACTAATAAATTCAGTAAAGAATTCAGGAAAAGCCATTTTTACTCTAGATATTGTTAGAATGTAAAATTCAGTATCACAAGAGTTTTTTGAGATGAATAACATGGATGCATTTGAGCAGAAGCTAGACAAATACCTGAATGAGAAAATAATAAAACCTTGTGTGACTGGGGTCAGGTGAAGAAGGGTCGGAGAAAAGTCATATGGACCACAAACAGAACATGGGCCTACTTCTTTGCTGCAAATACTGTATTATAATAACATCAAGATTTAACCACCGCAAGTTTTGAACATGCTTTTATTCCCATACGTACTGTGACTCCTATGTTATCAAATCTCCAGATGTCACAGCCTATGAATTCCCATTACTTTGCAGATTAGAAACAACACAAGATAATCCTTAATTAAAGCTTTGCATTTTCTTGGTCTCAATCCAGGCCAGACCAACAAGAGTACAAACTCACCATACTTATGTGTTTTCCATCTGTGCAATTCGTTCAACATTTAGCATCATGGAGTCATGATTGGACTAGCAGCTTTAGATTTGCAAGTGAGAAGGCCCTAGTTTACAACTGGATATTGGTAAACTCCAGGTTCTTAAAATGCATTTGACTAAGTTCCAAATGAAAAATTGTTCAGTCTAAAGCATTGAGATTGAGTAAAGATCAGAAACAGGCTGAGGGCTAGAGGAGTAAATGCTCAGGATGAAAATTTTTGAGTGAAACAACTAAGGATCAACATTGGAATGTCTATATTAAATCTAGGATTTGGAAACTTGATTGAATTGGGCCAAGTTCGCAGATCTACTAACGTAAGGGGATAATTGATTTCAAGCTGACATGTTGGGAGCTGCAAGGGAAGCTGGCTAAAATAACTAGCAACAATCTGACTGCAACAATGTCAGAGTGGCTTTGCATCTCTCTGGCTGACTCCAACTAAGTTTCTGGGATGAGCCACCCAAGTGAATTCCAACCAGTTCTCACCAATGCACAGCTGGCTAAAGCAGCAATTTATTGGTACTGCTGCTGAACTCAGCTGTAAAGAGCACACAATGTTGTAGAACAAGAAAAGAATTTGGAGTCTTTGATTAGAAAAGGAAACTCTCATTCTATGACAGAATGCATTGAAAGCCCCGACACTCTCTGCCCTGCAAAGTCCCTCCGTGAATATCCAATTAGTTTAATACTTTGACATGGTTTCTCCTGTTCCTCTCCTCTTCCCAGTGTTAATAAGCGATTGTTCCTTTGGCTGGAAAATCAAGAACCGAAGTCACACCCATGTGATACAGTTGGCTATTTAGGACTTCAATAAGGAGACATTTAGTCTCTCAAGTTTACAGGGATTTGGAATTCTTCATCTCCAGTGGGTCTGAGGTGATCAGTCATTCAAGTTTGAGGTTAACAGATTTTTGGAGACTAAGAAGATCAGGGGATATGGGATAGGGCAGGAACTCTCCAGAACTGCTGAAGAAGAGTTTTGAAGAAAAGTAATATTGGACTTGAATTATTACTTGTTTCTCTCTCCATGTATTCCACCAAGCCTATTGATTTCCTCCAGCATTTTTCTCATTGTTTCATTTTTCCAGCATTCTCAGTATTTCGCTATCTTTTACTGACTGGTAACTTGATTGATCCCACTTCTACTAAAACCAGTTCATCATTTAAACACGTACTCACCTATTTTCTGAAGAAAAACATTCTGCAGTTGTAGCCATGCTGGGTCACCAGTGTAGGAGGAAAAGGCTCAATTTTTTTGAATTTTGTTTCTTAGCAGTGAGCTTCAATGGATGATTACCAAACTTAGGGGACTGTAATTGAGCAGGCGGAAATTTTCTGTTCTTTAATTGTACAGATGAAGAAAAATCATGTTGTGTCACAATTTCCTGACGCACTACTGGTGACAGGTGGCACTCTCCCTCAGTAGCACATTCAGAGAATTGACCTTGATGAGTCTGGACTTTGATTGTGACCTTGAGGCTTGATTATTTGCCTTTATGTGGCATAGATCACCTACTGTTTGTTTCATTTCATGGCCCTTCAGTTCACTTCATTCTGCTTCAGTTCACAAGAGTAAAAAACTCTTGGGGGCGGCACGGTGCCTCAGTGGTTAGCACTGCAGCCTCACTGCGCCAGGGACCTGGGTTCGATTCCAGCCTCGGGCGACTGTCTGTGCGGAGTTTGCACATTCTCCCCGTGCCTGCATGGGTTTCCTCCGGGTGCTCCGGTTTCCTCCCACAGTCCAAAGATGTGCAGGCTAGGTGGATTGGCCATGCTAAGTTGTCCGTAGGTTCAGTGGTGTGTGAGTTATAGGGGGATGGGTCTGGGTGGGACGCTCCAAGGGTCGGTGTGGACTTGTTGGGCCGAAGGGCCTGTTTCCACACTGTAGGGATTCTATGATTCGATGAAAACGTATTATTCTTGTTGACTTGAGTGATACTTGCCAGTTCTAAATTCAGCTACTCATGTCTTCTTCAGAGCATATTGCAAAACTACGTTTCGTAACATTCTAATCAAACAAAGACAAATATGCATAAAGCACTCAAAACTGACATGGTTCAGTTAGTAATGACTCAACACATTGCCCCTTTCTTTAACTTAACATTTCCAAGTTGCTTTGAAATATAGGCTTGCTATCAGCATCCTGGTTCACTCAATCATTCCCTCAGTTCTTTGTGTCAGTTTTGGTGGTGTTCTAATTTTGGATCTTGATTCTCTTGTGGCTCTAGAACTAGATTTTTCAGTTTGATTCTTCTTTGGAACTGAAGAGAGAGGTGAAAAAGTGATGTGTTTTATAATGGAACAAAAGGTAGGAGGAGCAATTGCAACTAAAAGAAAGATCAAGGGACGGTTTGAGAGTGATGGAGATTAGAGATCATGGAGTGAAAGAGAAAAAAAAATGAATTATAATGATCTTAGAGAAGAAAAAGAGATCCGAAGTAGGTTTTATGTTTATGATAGGTTTTAATAGTGGAATATAGGTTAGCTTTGCTGAAAGCAAACCAAGAAAACTAAACATTTGGGCTGGGAGACAAAATGGAGGACAGATATTGTGCCTTCTGGTTGTTGAACTCGGTGTTGAGTCCGGAATGCTGTAAAGTGAATGGAAAACTGAATGTCATTCCTGCAGCTTGCATTGGACTTCACTGGCACACTGAAGCAGGCCTTGGACAGAAATGTAAGCATGAGAGCAAATTGATGTATTAAAATGCCAAGCGTCCAGAAGGTCAGTAACATGTTTACAATTGAACAGAAATATTCTGCAAAACAGTCACCCAATTCTGTATTTGGTCTCAACAGTGCGCAGGACACACTGCTTTGTAGACTAGAATGAGAAAATCACTGCTTCACCTGGGAGGAGTATGTGGGGCCTTGGAAAGTGAGGGTGGAGGATGGAAAGGAGCAAGAGTTGCACTTTCTGCAATTACACAAGAAGGTGCCATGCGAGAATGTGAGGTGTTGGGGGAGTGACATACGAGTGGGCCAAGGTGCCACAAAGGGAATAGTTTTCCATTGGATCAGAATTAGGGCTGTAATGCCAGTGTCAATACAAATTATTCCTACATTGTTTCTGCAGATATTAGTGGTGAATTAAATATTTTGTTGTTCTGGTTTAATTTCTACCCTCCCCACAAAAAGAGCAGATATACTTAATGAATAATCTTCTGTTTATTTCTTAAAAGTAAATAACTGTTTAACCCTAGAGTTCAAATATTTGTCTGGTGTTTAAATTGTTAGATAATCGCATATCTGGTACAAACTGAACATTTGGATGACTGCTCAGTAATTGCAGTTTAAAAGTGAGCATTCTAAGATAATGAGTGGGCCATTTTCTATTCATACACGTGCAATTGGGCCTTAATGCATATTATGGTGAGTTTTGCCTTGCTAGAATTGTTCTAAACTAAGAAAATGAGGCCATTATGTTTTATTGCAACCTGTACTCAGGTTCTGACACAGTCTACAGTATTCTATACTAATATATAGTCACATACATAGATACAGGTTCACCCAATACTTGCTATTCACTATACACTCATATGTCTACATGCTGTCTCTCTCTCTGTTGCAATTCATGTGAACTCTGTAATTATCATTAAAGCATAGCACAGATAGGAACAAGAATAGATCATTCAGCCAAGCCTGCCATGCCATTCACAGCTAATCATCTCCTCAATGCCAGTTTCCCACACTGATGTCACATCCCTTAAGGTAATTAATCTTTGGAAATATTGAGTTCTCTCTTCCACATGCTGAACAACTGATCTTTCACAGCCGTCTAAAGGTTGACCACCCTCTGGAGCAAAGAAATTCTTCATCATTTCAGTGTTAAATCTCGTGTGAATTCCAACTTCTGCTGTTAGTAGTTATGTTAAGCTTCATGATGACTATTAATCCATTAAGATGACCAAATTTGGAGAACCCTGCCATAACGAATATTATGAGCTTAATTATTTTCCATTGGCCTTAAATGCTATATGAAATATGTTTCCAAAAAAGAAAATATACTTTGTGATTATGACATAATATCACTATCTGAAGACACTCAAAGGGCTCCTTCATTTGTGCGATTATTGCCTAGTCTTCCTTTTTTCCCGTTAAGATGAAATTCCTGAAAGTATAGCGCCAGAAATATACCACACGTTTCCGAAGACGTGACATAATTGGAATTGAGCTCCGAGATCTATGTTTCTAGTCTAAATGTTTGCAGTCATTGTAGTGATATGATGCTGAGTTGCAACATTTTCACAAGACCATGAAGAAGTGATCGTAGCAGAAACGCATAACAGAATACACACAAACCTGGTGTCATGACTTATTGCAAAATTAGAATTACTGATTGACAAAATATGACAGGGGCTGCAGTCATGCAGAACAAACTTCAGTGAATCTATTACCAGTGGCACAAAGAAACCTTTTCTTCTCATGCTTTGTTACATATTACCTCATTCTTGATGACATGTAGTTGAGCATGAACATAGTGGACAGTCTTCAGTGTAGAATGCTCAGTGATTCAGTAAGTTTAGTGAGTCAACCGTTTTAGAACTTACTGTGAAAGTATTGAAGGCCATATTGTTAGATTCAAGTACAGTATTCACTGGATGTCTTTAAAAACATAATTTGGTTTACTTTTTAAAAGAAAAATGTGTTCATCTTGACAACAATTTACATTTGTAACTGCATGTCTAGCATATTGCTAGAATGAGAAAATTGTTTATTTTCACACAGAAGGTAGTAAGTTTTTTTTTAGTTAATTGTTGGCTGGTTCACTTATTTGCAATTCGGAAAAGTGATCAAAGTTATCGGTGCATTGTGAGGCTGCTGTGAACAGAGCAAACTTGAATTCCCCATGTAAATCTCGCTGGGCAGAATGTTCTAATATGAGCAATGGTGAGATTAAAGAAAAACCAGATTCTGTTAAAGTTGGCTTCAGAATCTTGCCATTGAGCAGCGATTACCCTATTTCTGTGCTTTAGTTTCTCATTCGGCCTTATTTTTATGTCATTTCCAATTCTTCCCTACCCCATGGAGAAACTACATAGCACAAATTCCTGATGTGAATGAGAGCAGGTGCCTGGCAACTACAGCTGTCTTAGTGCTTGTCCCAACCAACATGCAACCTCGCCTTCCCAACAGCATCCTACTGGCCACCATCTTCCTCGAACCTTTGTCTACACCGGTTGGCATCAGCAAAATGCCAGAATCGGGCATGCAGTCAAACCGAATCTCTCACCATTTCAGTCTTTCAGCACTTTAGTACATGTTTCATGCTTCTGTCACTGCACTTTGCATGTGGGGACATGAATGCATCTGATGCACCTACTTCTGAGGCACTTATGGCTCTTTGCTTGCTTTCTCAACTCTTACTCAAGTGTGTTTACTTGCACCTTCCAGGCCTGTATATTTCACACTCATTGACTTCGGCACTGACTTATGGGCTGCCTGCTTCTCTATACTTCATGTAGCTTTCTTAACACACGTAGTCTTTAGGGATCAGCTACAGGCTGCCAGTCTCTATAGCTTCCATTAATTCTTCAATGCTGAGGGAGAGGCAGGCAGCTTCTCTGGTGGGGAGTACTCAACCGTTAAGTTGGTGGTCATGTTGCCATACAGCACTGTGCTACATCAATGTCACACTTGCAACATGTGTCAGCAGTTTACATGGCAAATGTACTGCATGTGCTTCAAGCAAATGTTTATGGGCAAAAGTCAAAGGAGAGCAGTTCTCAGTGAGGTAAACAAGGACATCAGTCAAAGGGGAGCAGTCCTTAGTGAGGTAAACAAGGACATCAGTCAGTAAGGAGTACTACCAGAGTCAGTCAAGGGGCTCATTGATTCCAATCTAGCCAGTTGGCAAGTCAGACAGCTATTTAATCCCACTGGAGTCCAGGACTCCATGTAAACGCAAAGTACCTCGGATGCTAGGGATCTGAAATAAAAACAAATGGTAGTGGAAAATCACTGCACATCTGGTAGCATCTGTGGAGAGAGAAGCAGTGTTAACGTTTCAAGACCAGTTTCAGTTCTGAAAAAAAGTTATATCAGACTTATTGGGTAGTAGGATGATTAGTTATGAGGATGAGGTAGGTGAGAGTGATTGAACAGGCATGATGCATGCAGTAATTAAGAATAATAATCCATGAGATTTATTAAGATGTGTGTGCATTTGCAGAGTTAAGTGAGTGCTGGCCCTGTGAGTGAGTGGTAGCAGAGAGGAGATGGTGGCACTTACCCTCGCAGAGTGTGGAAGATCATCGATCTTGTTCCCACGGTGTTGCGTGTCCCACTTTGCAAGGGGTACGGCTCTCGTCCAGGGGTACAGCACTCGCCCGGGGGAGGGGGTTGGCGGCACACGTCCGGGGTGGGTGGGGTGGTGCGGCAGGGCGGCAACAGTTGCCCAGGGCAGGGACGGCACTCGCCGGGGGGAGGGGGGTACGGCAATCGCCCGGTGGGGGATACAGCAGTCACCCAGGGGTACGACACTCGCCGGGGGGGGGGGGGGGTACGGCACTTGCCTGGGGATATGGCATTCAAACAAAATTGGAGTCAATGAGAATCAGAGAAAACTCTCCAATCGTTGGAGTCGTCACCACAACAAACGAAATGTTGGAGGCCATTCATCTCAGTCTCCAGACATCTCTGAAACAATTATTGCTGGCATTGTTAAGGGATCTCTCTCCTCGGGTTTTCTCTCTCTTTTAAATATTCCATCATCATCCCTTACCTCAAGGAACCAACCTTCAAGTCTGCCACCACCACCTTTGCAACTTCTGAGCCAAGCTCCAAGAAAAAGCAAAGGAAACTGGGAATATTTAGATAACAAAAAGAATACGTTGGAGATGGAATCTAAACAACTTGATCTTTATTAATGACAGAGTAACAATCTCTACACGAGCTGCAGTTCTGAAGAGGAGACTTGAACAGAGAGTTTAGGTTTAATCTCTTTACACAAGGGAGGTAAATGTGTGGAGTGAACTGTTTGGAAAGATAAAATATCTGACTGAATGCAAAAACGAACTGATGTTTTGTCCATCACCAAAAGCCATTGAGCATCAACTATTGAGATCAATCTAATAAGACTTTGATCTTTCTGTATATCATTGTTTAATGTTAGTGCAAGTTAATTTTTGAAATAATTTGTTCATTATATATTCAACATGAGAAAATCAATTGTTTGCAGGTTAAATGCTACCACAAGAAGTATCGTTCTGCAACGAGGGATGTTATATTCCGGCTTCAGTTTCACACAGGCTCTATCCAAGGTTTTGGATTTGTATTTGGAAAGGACGACCTCGACAATGCAAATAAAGGTATATTGATAACTTAGAGATTGAATCACCAATTGTACCTCTAATTTAAAAATGCAGACAATAAACTGAACAGTCATTATCTATGAGCTTTCATTCTCAACCACCAAGGATAACTTGGCCACAGACAGGAGGTTTGGAGGATCTGACACCATTACTTTTTTTTTCACACGCTACCATTAGCCAAATATAAAGGAGCCCCGACAGAAACCTATCTCTGATATCAATGATAGTGGCTCCCTGCAAGACTCATGAATTTTGCATGTACTTTTATCGATTGAAATGAGTGTTAACAATGCGTTGCTTTCTCTCTCTCAGCTCAACGACTGGTACATAACATTGGGAGACCTGACAAGATAGAAAAATTGATAAACACTGTGCATTGTAAAACCAACGATGCATCGATCTAAAAATTAAAGTTCATATGTTTCTCTTATAATATCAATTGTAATCAGAGTAAAATCAATAATACTAAATCATTTTGGTTTTTATATAAAAAAAAATCAGTATTTTAATTTAATTTGCAGTGCTGCTGGTTCACTGAAAAGGGAGATTTCCACCTTTTCATGGTTATTCTTGTTAAAACATTACAGAAAATGCATTTAATCTGCCACAAATACTTGTTTTGCTTTTAATAGATTCTTTGGATAGACAGGGGTGTAAGCAGATCTTTTTTCTTAGTGGACGACAATTCAAAAATTCAGAATATTTCTGAACATTCTAAAAATATTCCGAACAGTTTCTCTAAATATAAATAATTGCAATCTCTGGCTCTTTTGCTCTTATTTTATTCTAAAATTTTATTTCAGATGATAGGTTTCCTGAATATGGGAAGATTGAGCTTGTATTCTCAGCCAGTCCAGAAAAAATACAAGGTATGTACAATTATTAATTTTTCTTCCACTGCAATCACTTAGGAACTGATTTTCTGTTTATGTTCAGAAAAGTGAAACAAGAAATGGAATCAAGGAATGTACTGTTAAGACATTGCTGGTGATCCACTATTTTTGAAAAAATGACTGTTTATGATTTCATAAAATATTAGACTCACTTTGGTGAACTATGGTTACCTTTAGAACAATTCAGTTTATACCAGTTAGTCCATAATGATCACATATCACATTTACATATTAATGCTGTTTTTATCCTAGTTTTTAAAATATATTATCTGCAGCTAGGTAAAATGGTATTTAATTTTAAATCTGTACATGCTGTGATCAGAAGGAAATAATCTAATAAGTAATTGACCAGAGACAATAATGTTTTGTTTGGGTTGTCAAACATTCACAGGAATCAAAACACATGTTTTGTTTGTGTCACATTTTTTAACAAAGTCTCCTTCACATCATTTCTGTTTTTATACTTAGCTGTAGGTTGTTTTCAAGGATATTTGGCTCTGAAACAAAACTGGGAGATTGAGGGTGAGGCTGTAAACAGCCAAATCAGAAAGATGCTCTGCCTAACTTAACAGCAGGGCCTTATTTAAACAAAATACAGCAATCTTCCATTTGACAGAAGGACTGTTGGGCAGAGCAAAGTTGACTGGAGGAGGCTGCAGCTTTGGGGGTAGTGCCCTTCAGTTATTCGGGCTAAGGCCTGGTTTTAGGAGCAGCTGAGGGACTAAGAAGTTGGCGAACAGGTAGGAGAGGTCTTACAGCAGTTGCAATCAAAGCAGGAAGTGGCCCAGATCAAAGGACGCCTAAGGATTCCTAGTAAGGTCCAAAGAACCATACTGGTGTATAAGAAAACCAGAAAATTAAATTTGAAGTTTAGCCTGTTTGGCCTCTTCTGGTCTGTCTCTTATCGGATTTTGCCTCAAGTGGAGAACTGTGAACTCCCCTGCTCAGTTATCCAGATGATGATTTCGTCACACCTAATGTGCATGTTTAAGGTAAACTATAGCTCCCTTTTTGCAGGCATCCTTTCTATCTGAATAGAACAGGTTAACCTGGAATGTGACAGAGAGAAACAGGGCTAGTGGGGATAACGAAAACCTGTTATTTTAACAACCCCTCACTAACACCATGATCTGAGTTTGGTTTGTAGCTACTGGCAATGGTTGCAATGTGGGCCATAGAATGTCGAACAAGGGAAGACTCTTTGCTCAAAGGTTTTTTTTAAAAACCAGAATTGGCGGAGCAACTTTTGAAACTACATTGAAGGCCCATTACTCATAAAGAATAAATGACATTCCAAAATATATCTGAAATGATGCATGTTAAAAATAACTACATGTATGTTATTTAGAGAAATTGACACAAGAAGGGAAAATACACATGCTTCAAAAAGTTGAAGAAACAGAAAATGTCGTTACTTTCTTATGTTGTTGGTAGCCCTCTGCAGAAAGTAACAAAAATATGATTTCAGATATAAAAGTATAAAGACCTTTGCAGTGATATTTTAAAATTTTTGTAAAATTTAACTTTTTGTGTATATGAAATGTTTTTATGAATGTTTTTCCCTATTGGTTTGTCTCTGTCTCAGGCTCAAACTTACCCAGGTTTAGTTGGTTTGGCGTACAGCTCTCCCACTTTCAGAAGGAGTTCCAGACTTGATTGGACTGAGATTGTCATAGTGTTATCCTTATGGAGTTTTCTTCTGATTGAACATTTTTATAAATTGTTTACACTGAGTGTCTACCTCCATCACTATAGTGGTCATGAATACTCAATAATATATGTGGATTTTGAATTGCATGTTGTTCAGTCTAAATGGGTTTGGACAGGCTTCAGAAAAGCGTGATTAAAGCAGTTGAGTGTTTGGGGCAGTTGGTAAACATTCATGTACTTTCCCAGTGTACACAAATTTCCAGATTCATTGAATTCATTTTTGCATCTTCCCATGGAATCAAGCTCTTGACCTCTAAGTTGCAGTTCCCTTGCCATTAACGTGAAGTCAAAATACACAACATCTTCACAGATGTCATAGAGTTTGTTTTCAGAGAAATGAGTCTTTGCCAAGAGAGTATAGTGGGTACATTGCAGTGATAAACTCAGAAGCAGCATGCAATAGACAATAGACACATCTAAACAATCTCATAACTAGTACAGCAGATCTAAGTTCTGATGTCTTGGCACATCCAGTGGTGAGTGGTGGTGGGCACTTAAACAACTCACTGGAGGAGGAAGCTGCACAAATATCCCCATCTTCAGTAATAGGGAATCACAACAGCTCAGTGCAAAAAACCAGGCTGAAGTCATTGCATTCATTATCAAACAGAAGTGCCAATGAATGATGCATCTTGAGACTGAGGTCTCCAGCAACTTGGATGTCAGTATTTGGCCAGGTGAATTCACTCCATGTGATATCAAGAATTGGCTCAAGGCACTGAATACTGCAAACACTTTTGGGATTTGATAGTATTCTAACAATAACGTTGAAGACTTGTGCTCCAAAACTTACCATGCCCCAAGCCGAGCTGTGCCAGCTACAACACCAGCTTCTGTACAAAAAGCAAGACATATCCAACCCGGTCAATTACCGCCCTATCAGTCTACTCTCGACCACCAGTAAAGTGGTGGAAAGTGTCATTAACAGTGTTATCAAGCAGCTGCTCAGTGATAGTAGGAACTGCAGATGCTGGAGAATCTGAGATAACAAGGTGTAGAGCTGGATGAACACAGCAGGCCAAGCAGCATCAGAGGACCAGCAAGGCTGACGTTTCGGGCCTAGACCCTTCTTCAGAAA